ATAGCATAAGAATGCAGCAACTCGGGGCCTCCTGCACGCCTCCTGCACGCCTCCTGCACAGGGAATGCTGCAACTCGGGGCCGCCTGCACGCCTCCTGCGCAGGCGCAGCTCGCGCTCCAGCGCTCCCCGGCGGGCGCGTGACAGCCGTGCGCTCACCCCTCCCCCCCAACTCCGTCTCAGTGCGCACGCGTAGTCTACACGCCACGCGCACGTGCGCGTTCACGCTGCTCACACTTCGGCGAGGGGCGCGCGCCCTGGAAAATTCCACACCCGAACCAGCTCCACCCTCTGCGCCTTCTCTCCGGTCCCAGGCTCTTCGCTCTTAGTCCCCAACCCAGAAGCCTTTGCGCGGACAAGATGGCTGCCCCCATGCCGCGGGGGCTGTCTTGCTTATCCCGGGCTTTAGGATGGTGGTCTCGACAGGTGGGTAGGGAGGGGGCGGATAGGGCTCCAGGGGCTGGAGGAGGAGGACAGGGGAGAGGGAAATACTCCCTTCGCAGTTGTCCTTGGTGAGCTTGGAGGGTACGAGTCACTCCAAGGCGAGGGAAGAGTTTAAGGTAGACCGGGACCCAGCTACTGAGCTGAGTGGCTAAGGAGCGAAAGCCTCGGTAGGGCCAGGAAGGGGAGCAGATTCCCCGGGATTAAGGTGCTGCGGTTTGGTCTGGGTTTGTTTGGCGGGAAGGGTTTAAAGGTAATGGTCTGGAAGGTGAGCTCGCTCCCCCTTGATTCTATAGACGTCCTAAATGGAGCAACATCTGCCACTGTACCTGCCTGAGCAAACCTCATGGTCAGAGAAAAGAGAACTGGCCTTTAAACAGCTGATTAACCAGTTGGGAGCGGTAATGACTGCCATTTACAGTGAGGATACCAATAGAATGAGCAGAATGTAATCTCAGTAAAAAATAAAATAAAATAGAAGCGATGCCAGTGCTTTTCTTATGCTTTAATGATAGCGTCCTGCTCATTTCAGCCTCGGGTCGGTGTTTAATCCCCATCAGACTGAAGGTTTGTTTTTTTTAAATATATTTTATTGATTTTTTTACAGAGAGGAAGGGAGAGAGATAGTCAGAAACATCGATGAGAGAGAAACATCGATCAGCTGCCTCCTGCACATCTCCCATGGGAGATGTGCCTGCAACCCAGGTACATGCCCTTGACCGGAATCGACCCCGGGACCCTTCAGTCCGCAGGCCAACGCTCCATCCACTGAGCCAAACCGGTCTTGGCTGAAGGTTTTTTTGAAAGCAGAAGCCTTGCTTTAATCACTCTGTATCCGAGGAGTTGGCATAGGCCTGCACTATGGAGAATACTAAAGGGAAGCCTTTAGTAAATGTTGAGGCGTTAGTAAAAGTTGCTTACTAGCTTCTAGTAAGAAACACCCATAAATGTTAAAGTAGTAATGCATCCCCCCCCCCAATAGATGGCTTTATAATTGTCCCTAAGTCATTCTTTGTATATTCCCTTTTGACCTTTGCTTAGAGTCTGTTCAAGATAATAGTTTTTTCCAAGTTTACCTATATCTTAACCTTTCCTGCCTTCCAGCCCGTCCTGGTGACTCAGTCCATAGCTGTAGTTCCAGTGAGAACTAAAAAACGTTTCACACCTCCTACTTATGAACCCAAATACAAATCAGAAAAGGAATTTATAGAACATTTCCGGAAAGCAGGAGTTGTCATTCCTCCAGAACGTTTGGAGCGGCCCATCCATCTGGCCTGTACAGGTGAGGCGTGGTGTTTCTGAGACCTTGACCCATTCCCCTTCTGTCGGAGATCATCTGGAAAGTAAAATGATTTGGACTATGGTTGGCACTAGTTAATTAACCACAACATCAGTGGATCAATAGAGCTTCATTAACGATTTACTTTGTATGCACTGTATTTCATGAGGTCATCTTTGATCTTGTTTTCCCACTATTCTTAGAAGGCAAAGGTGAAATTTCCCCATTTTGTACAAGAAGAAACAGGCTCTGAGAGGAAACTTGTTATCTTATTCTGTTTTTTCTAATGTAACATGATTCCCTCTACATGAAAGTCTAGTTCATTAGTCTACTTTATTTAGGATCCCTCCTAATTTTATGTGACCTCAAGATGACTTTTTCTCAGTCTTTCAATGCTTTCTTAGTTGTCTCCTTCTCTCATTTCAGGTAATATCTTTGACCCCTATGTGCCTCCAGAGGGTGATGCTCGGGTGTCATCTCTTTCAAAGGAAGGACTGGCACAGAAGACTGAACGATGGAAGAAGAATGTGGCGTCACAGTTGTCGTAGGTGTCTGAGACAACTGGGAGCTAATATTAGAATAAAGTTTCTTGTTGCTACTTTATTCCAAAGAGATCATCTTGGGCCAATTGGATTGGATAGAACTCCCGTAACAATGTCAATTTGACATTATTTTCTTTCTCTGTAATTGAGTCCGTAGTTAATGTAGAATAATATGGGCATTCTGATTCTTAGCATCTCAACCTTTATTGGTTGTTTTTGTCACATCAATTAGGGAGTTGACTTTGAAGTTTGTAGGACTTTTAAAAAATATATTTTTAAAATTAAAATAAATTTTACTAAAATATATGTTTACTTAATTATTTTTTAAAAATATTTTTAAAGACCTCATGCACACCCCCCACTGGGGACCGAGCCCACAACCCCGGCATATGCCCTGACCAGGAATCGAACTGTGATCTCCTGATTCATAGGTCGATGCTCAACCATTGAGCCATGCTGGCCAGGCCTTAGTCTTTTTATAAGATATTTTTATTGATTGATTTTAGAGGGAGAGAGAAACATCAATTTGTTGTTCTACTTATGTGTATTCATGCGCTGACCAGGGATTGAATTTGCAACCTTGGTGTATCAGGATGATGCTCTAACCAACTAAGCCACCCAGCCAGGGTTCATTCTGACTCTTTAAAAATATATATATATCGCCAAAACCGGTTTGGCTCAGTGGATAGAGCGTCGGCC